TATATATATATTCCAATATATATAATCCGCTTCGCGTCGGGCGGTTCTTTGCCTCCACATGGTGCATTAAAATCCTTTAATGCACGGTTAGCCGTTGATTATCCCTTACATATATTATGTATTTTTTTTGGGCATGGAGCCATTCTCAAAAATGGCAGATTCCTGATTTACAATTCCTACATTTTCAACAGGGTCATGCGCCAACTGAGCAACTGCCATTGAGATGAATGAGAATAGCTTTCTCCAGGTATTAAAGACCTCCTTGATGTAGGTAGCAGACAGCTATGGGAGCTCATAACTTCTCTCTCTCTTTCTCTTTTCATGCTTGCAGAAGTTTGTGTGGGAGGCAGCCTGCCTTCTATTTACCCAGTCAGGGAGCTCCAACCTACGCAGGGACCTTACCTTGGAGAGAAAATGCCACACTTCGCTGAGGTTCCATTTTCGGGGCTGATCATAAAGAGAGCGGGAGCGAGCCGCTTCACCTACTTTGACTTCCTTGATTACTGTACGCCACCGTGTTTTTAAAGCATACAGAGAGATTTATGCTTTCTATTATATAGAGGTTTTTTTTTTTTTATAATGCTTGATTTTAAGTATTTTATTTTCAGGCATAAAAATGAGAAATGATCATAACTGAAGCATCTTATCCACAGCACTAGAACAACTTAAAGCTTGCCCATCATGAAAGTATGCAAACCTGCAAAAATACATAAATAATAATGCATTGTTTTATGTTTCTCAGCCCACAGATAGAAACACTTTATAACCCACAAGGGTCAGAACCATTTTAATTTGTGTGGGTTACAACGTTTTATTTATTTATTTTTTAATAATAAGATAAACTGTAAGGCTATATGAGTTTATTTTTGGTACATGGAAAAAGTAAATAAGCAATACAGCAATACATTTTCTTTGTTATAAACAGAAAGCCTTTTACATTATCTTTGTTATAAACAGAAAGACTTTTTGACATCACAATTCAGCACATTTTTGCACCGGACCTATACATAGTATATCCAATAATCAAACCGACTAATTAACTATGTATATGACAACAACACCTGAAAATACATCCAACACAATGTGAATGGAAGTGGAGAACGTAATGTCAGCGCATATTTTACACTTCGCGTTTGAGCCCTCTGTGCTGCCGTAGTTTGGAGTCCGGAAGCATCATGGACATCGGGAAATCAAAAACTCGTTGTCATAAACAAATGTAAGAATCAGTTTACATATGTTATTTTTTAACGAAGATGAATTGAATGACAAAAGTCAGTTGTTAGTACTCCTATTTTGAAGTGTTATCGCGATATTTGAATGCCTTCAGAGCGTTTACAGTGTTACAGTTGAGAGTGCCTTGTCTGTGTTGTTTATGTGGCAGTTTCACATCTGACGTCTAACTTACTAATCCTGATATTGAACAGTATCGGTCAAGATATATCTGTTATGTAGCCTATACATCGTTGTCAAAAAATCGTGTTACCGTTTAATTTTGCACAACCATCATATGCTTAAAAAAAATCTCATCTCCTCTCTCTTTATATATGTATATGAAGCTGAGACCGGGGCTAGTTGTCACACCTTCCACTCCAGTTACAGTGAGTATTTAACAGGTTTGGGCTGTTTTTAAAGTTAGCATCTGAATAGAAACAGTATATTCTGCATACATACAGATTATATATATATATATATATATATATATATATGACATATTTTCAAGATGATAATTCAGTTTTCTGAGCTCACATGCCTGATTAATATCTCAATTATATGATTGTGTTTTTGATGTTTTTGTAATTGCATCACTGACTATCAACTCTTTGTCCTATTATTGATTTTAGTGGAATGCATCAACATTATCTTTCCTAGTCTTGGAGGAGTGAGGCCTAATCCTCTGTGATTATACTCAAAAATGTCAGGCCAAGAGTCGTCGGACAAGGGTGTGGACATGTGGTCCTCCCTCCGTTGTCTGGGGTATCTCTCCAGCTTCAACTTGCTGGCAGCCGTGTGCTTGGGAATGTACGTACGATGGGAACAGACTGCAGAGTCCATGATTCTGGTCATCTTCATCTTGGGTTTGTTCGTTTCGGCCATAGCCTGTATCCTCTACTACTACTTTTCAATGGAGTCAGCAAGTTTAAGTCTCTTCCACCTGTGGTTCGGCTTCCTGCAGGGACTCCTGTGCTTCCTCAACAGCCAGTCTCTGGAGAACGACATAAAGGAGCAGGTCACAAACTACCTGTTGCTCGCTAGCGTGGCTGTTCGGATGCTCTGGGCCCTAACAGAACGTCTGTGCAGTAGCGCTACGAATAAACCAGTTGTTCTAACCTCATCCGAGCTTTTAGAGCTCCTGGGATTTGGTGTCGCAAGCATCAGCTTGGTTTTCCGCAAATCACTGGCCATGATTGCTCTGACGTTCGCTTTAACGGCCCTCATTGTGGACCTTCGCATGAAGTCGCCCTTGGCTCTCCCTAATCTAGCCTGTTTTGCTGTGATCACCGCTGTTACCTTCTTCCAGTCCTTGGAGATCCAAGCAAACCCCTTCGCGCTCAGCTGCTACCTGGGCCGGCTTATCTGCGAGCCCCTTCTGGATGTGTACTTCTGCAGCTTGTCGGCGACAGAACGTTGGAAGCAGTTTCTCTCAGCCGGTGGTCTGTGGAGGAGATTTTCTCTGTTCCCGTTGGCATTTGTTGAGCTGGCATTCTTTGTGCTCTGTGCCTTTAAGCTGGGTAACCTGGATGTTTGGTATCTGGTCATCCCTGGCTTCTGCGTCTTTGGTCTCTTGTGGATCCTGTGCCACATGGTGTTCCTTGTCACGCTATGGTGCTTCCACACCAAGCTAGGCGAGTGTCAGAAGACGTGGGCGGCCCAGCGCTCACAAACACTAAATTTGGACAGGATCATGGCCTCCAGGGGCATGCGTCATTTCTGCCTCATCTCTGAACGGCTGGTGCTCTTCTGCCTGATGTCCACCATCATACTAGGGGCTGTCTCATGGCAGGTAATGCAGGTTGATTAATGCTTTCACAATAATTCTGATCTATCTAGATATCATGAATCCTGTTTGACAATAATTGACATTAACAACATCAAAATGAAAATTCTGTCATCATTCACTCCCCCCTCATGTCGTTCCAAACCTGTATGACGTTCTTTCTTCTATGGAACACAAATTAGGATACTTTGAAGAATGTGTCAACTGGTTTTAACCATACAGTAAAAGTCAATGTAATCAAAATGGTTTGATTACCAACATTCTTCAAAATACCTTTTTTTTTGCATTCTGCAGAACAAAGTAAGTCATGCAAAATTAGAATGACATTAGGGTGAGTAAATGATAACATAAATTACTTAATATTTTTGTTGAAGTATTCTTTTAACGTATTAGAAACACTATATGCCATAATATCTTATCTACACCAAATATGCATAATGTTAAATGGGGACAACTCAATAAACCATCCATCAGGCCTTGGGCAGAAGTGCCTAATCTAACCTTTATAGTAATTCACTTGAGATTTAATGTTAAGATATGAATGCTGCAATGAGTCATTAGAAGCACTTCCAACTTTGCTAACGTTATTCAGCGTGTAAAACAAATGCAGTTTCATTTTTTATAATAAATGAATTTTATTTTATATCATTTATTTTTTAAATGATTTTGCCAAGGCAAACAGTATGCAGGTGAGTCAGAGGTATATTCAGGCTGTAGTACACTTGATTAAAATGAACAGGCCTGAGAACAAAAGGAATGCTAGCATACTACTCACTGAAGACTGCAGATTGTGCACTATTTTTAAAGCAAATTGTATGTATGTAGCATACAACAGAAAAATGTCGAATTTAAATTTCGATTCACGTGACATCATCACATAGCTTGTTTAATTTAGCATGTGGCATCTGGCAAACAGATCAAATGAGTCAAGAAACAGATGGTAAAATGGTGGCTGATAGTCAATTTATTCTGCAGTCTTCTATCCAAAATGACTTTGCATTCAAGTTATGTATTTTATCTGTATGTGAGCGTCCTGAGAGTTCAAACTTTGACCATAGTGTTGCTAGCGCCATGCAACATGAACTACATGATCTAGAACACAAAAAAAGATCAAATTAAG